TACAGTGATGCTGAACATTTTTCCATAGACCTATGGGCCCTTTGCATTTCGTCTTTGGAGAAGTGTCTTTTTAGCTCCTCTGCCCATATTTTGATTGCACTGTTTGTTTTTTGAGTTGTGTGAGCTCTTGCTGATATTTGTCACCAGTCTCCAATTAGTGGTATTGTGTGCAAAAGTTGTCTCCTAGTTGTTTGAGTGTGTCTCTTTGTTTTGGTTAATGCCCCTTTCTGCTGAACAAGTGTGTTTAACATATTTGTATTCAAGGGAAAAGAAAGAACTTTTTTTTTAGAAGAAGATAACATGGAAGTTAAACACCAGGGGTTTCACAAGGCAGAGGCCTCTTGCAGTCTCCCCACCTCCACCTGCTGCCTCACAAGGAGGCGCCCACCCCCTGTCTCCTTGTCAGGCCCTGCCCACACCTTATTTGTTCTCCCTGGTATAAACACCTGCCTCTGCCCAGAGGAGGACAGGGTCTTTCAGACATGGGTGGGCTGCTCTCAGTTTATCGACAAATCAAACTAATTTTCTTCTCCTCTAAGTGTTTCCGATTATTGACTGAGGATGATGGAGGCCAGTTTTCAGTATCAGTGTCCAGTAAATTGTACTGTCAAGGGAAAGGGTGTCTTGCAACAGTAACATGTGTCCTTGGGCAAAGGAAAGAACCACTCATTCTGTAGATTTAAAATCTCCGTAAAACTAGAATATTCTCCTTTAAGTTTTATTGATTCTTCTAGTTTGATCTTGATCTCACTTATTATACTTAGAAATGGCCTAGATCTGATTTTTTTTTTCAAGTATTTGGGAGCAGAACAGGCAGAGCAGTACACTGCTGAAAGGAAAGTGGTGAGACAGTGGAAACATATTTCATTGTGTGGCTTTGAGTGGAATTCTCCCAAAAGTTGAGTCTGACCTGAACCAAGAAAAGGAGAACCTGCTGTTTTGTTGAAAGGGTTCCAGAGCAGTCCAGAGGTGAGGAAGCCCGCTCCATTGGCTGGACTGAATGCCCAGGAAGAGGAAAAGTTCTGGGCACCCTGAGAAGAGGAAGCCCCAGGTGGAGATGTCGAGACCGACTGTTCCTGAGGTCACACGGACGGGACGTCCAGAGTTCGCTCTGTCCTCTGTGGAGTGCTCCGGCAAGCCAACGGACACTGCTGTCTGGTCAGGCTGTCTGTGACTTTGTGCAACAATAGGTAACATTGTTTAAAAATAGATTTAGTTTGCAAGTTTTTGCTGTACTGTTGGATAAAATCGGGCTCAAGGTGAAAACAACTTGTTTTTAAATAAGTGAAACTGTTAAGGGGAAGGATATCCTAAAGGAACTCTTCAGAGTCTTATGGACCCCACCCCTACTCCAGCTTCTGGACTCCACCCCCTACTCAAGTGACTGGAAACTACAACTCCCAGCAGTACCAGGGAGAGAACTGCGAGGACCCAAGGGCAGAGCTAAGCAGGCATTCTGGGACTTTGGGGGATAAAGAGGGAGCCATTTTCTTCGGGGGGCACTTGCTCGGGAAATGGTTCTTGGGACCACGTCACTGGGGACTTTCAGTCAGTTTGTTATCAGAGCTCCAAGTCAGCCAAGCTGGTAAAATATGCTAGTTACCTGGTATCTCTCTCTCTTTCCTTGGATTGTGCCTTTTCCTTTGCCCTTTTGTAAACAAACCCATTATTGACCCTTTGTGTGTGCCTGCAAGACAACTAAATTTTAGGCACATGGGTGAGGACCCACAGACAGATGGCCCAGTTCACACTGGAGCGCCCTGTAACAAAACCAGTGTTTACGGTTTTTTTTTTTTTCTTCCTCTGATTTTATATTTGTTGTTTGGTTTTGACTATTTCTTTTGGGCATCAAGATGAACTGTTTTCCAAAAATGGAGACTTTATTTGCCACACTGGACAACACCTAGCGAGTTTTTTTCTTTCAAACTGGAACCCTGAATATTAACATCTAGGCTGCACCCGGCCATCCACGTACTTGACCTTCACCACCACAGAAGGCATAGAAAGGGGAGAATTGTTAGAGGTAACGGATGCCCTGCAGGAACCCACTCAAGTGTTGTGGACCCCACCCCACCCAGACCACAGCCATCAGGGCACAAGAAACCACAAATCTCAGCATGTATGGGAGGATGCTGGTGCTGAGGGTGGAGTTAAGCAGCCAGGTTTGGTGTAAACCAGACACTGGGTGGGTGGGGCATGGGAGGGGGCTTGTTTCTCTTGACACCCGCCCCCACACCCTCCCACCCATCCCTGCCCCTCCTGCCCCTCCTACCCCTCTTGGCTCTCTCTGGTTCAGCAACCCATGGGATTCCATGTTGGTGGAATTGAGGGGCCGCATCCCCAATTTCTCTCATTCCCTTTCTCCCTGAGTTACTCATTTCCTCAGCTTCTGTAATAAACCCTGTGTTAACCTCAGTGTGTGCACCCACAGCTGAGTGTTACTCTGTCACTTTAAGCACACGGTGAGGACCCACAGTCAGGTCACCCAGCTCAGAGCAGGGCTGCCCTGTCCCAGACATTCTGGTTCTCCCCCACGTGCACAGTTGCAAGACGGCTCAGGCGCAGTAAGAACAAAGGGATTAACCAGGGAAAAACAAAGTTACTAAAGCAAAATATGGCCTTTTACCACCCAAAAGCCACGCCTAGTGTTTTCCAGTCCTAAACAAAAACAGATAAAATGGCATCTTGCCTCCCTGAGGACACAGTGCTCCTCTCCCACACCACAGGCCTTGGTCTCAGAGGTGTCTGGTTGCCACTGTGGACACGCAGCAGCCAGACTCCAGGCCAGATGCCCACTCACAAGGACCACAGGAGACACAACAGGAGACTCTCCAGGAGCTGCCTGACCCCAGACAGGGGCTCTCAAACAGCTGCTCAGCAGTCAAATGACCCAAGGACAGGCCACACCCTCACAGCTCAGTAAGGCCCAGGCTCCTGTCTCTTGCCTTCCCTGCCAGGCTGTGACAGCTGCAAAACCTGGACTAGTTTCAGCCACTGGGCTCCTTGCAAAGTTGACATTTATGTTCATGCCATGTTCCACGTTTTTCCCAAGTGACAATGCTTCCTGTCTAGTCATTTTTCTTTACTAGGTAAACCAAAAAGTCCAAATTGATCTAAGTGCCTTTCCAGAAGGAAAGGAAGAAAAGTTGTGGAGTGTCTCAGGAGCTCTATTGAGGTTCCACAAAATTTCCTTTGATGAGCCAAAGAATAGGCTACCAAATTTTACGTCAAATTTAGAATTCTGGAAAGCTTTGTCAGAATATGAAAAAAAAAAAAAAGACAGCAACAACAATCTCAAACTCTATGAAAGCTCTGGCTCAGTCAGTAGTGCAATATTAACAATCAAACCATAAGTAATTAGAGTAATTAGAGACTCTTTGTCCTTAGAAACCTTATTTTTTTCCAATTTCCATTTTGCTTACGTTATCAATCCAAGCAAAAGGAAAAACATTATACTCAATACAACCTTAGAAGCACCTGTTTTAAAAAATCAAGAGAGGCCTATGGAATTAATGTAACAATAGAAACTATTCAGTGATATTGTTTCACTTTGCAAATAACATTTGAAAAACCAGCACAACTGAAATTATACAGTTTCAATTTATTGTCCAAGTGTAACAAATGTGAATATTCAATTGTCTATAAGTAATAAAAATGCTATTGTCATTTATTTCAGTGGGACTGTATAGTTTTTCTCCATCTTGGCAGTTTCACTTCTCCCTCTCACAACCTGAGTCTGGTCCTCCTTCCTGGATCCTGGTGACTCACCCCAGTTCTCGCTTCCCCATTGCCTGGGGAGTTTCCCAGAGCAGCCAATCAGCAGGCCCCAGTCTCCACCCACCTGCAGAGAGGCAGATTCTCCACAGACGCAAGAGCTCTAGT